TAATGACAAGAGGGAAAAATCTATTGGTGTTAATCAAGGTACAACGGGTATGTGCTAGCCACCTGGTGTTAGTGTATTAAGATACGTCAGCTTATAAACACTTTTTTTTATTTCAATATTATTGTAAAATATACTATATTGAAAGAACTTTGAAAATTAAACATTACATTTTAAATTCTTGAATAAGTTAATTTACGATCAAAATAAATTTAAAATTAAACGATCATAATCCAAATTTATAAAATTATTTAACTAATCAGTGTCATTTACAATATTTAAAAATATGGATAATATGATTTTAATTTAATTAGTTGCCTATGACTTTGATTACTGTAAACGTGTATACACATCAGTAATAATTTAATTTTGCTTCACATATTGCCATATTTTATTATTTTTATTTTACCCTTAGAATGAGTTACTGATAATTCATAGATTTTTAAAATTAATTAAAATGTAAAAATGATTGTTTAAACAATAATATATTTCAATATTTTATTATGTAAACAGAATATCTATTGTATGTATAATAATACTTAATGGAATATTACTATTGCCAAAACTAAAACTCAGATTTTTTATTGTATACTGATGAGAAAAATTATAATGCTAAATTTCAAATACCAGTAAACAAAACAGAAACTGTAGAAATTCAATTTAATTTGATAAACCTAATTGTGTATGAGAAAATTCTTAAACAAATTTCCATACTAATAAAATACATAGTTTAGGTTCAGTATTAGTTTCCTGCTGCTAAAACAAGTGCTTCAGCGACTTCAACGGCAATTGCAGCTTCTGCCTTAGCAACATCACTAGATGCAGTCGATAGTTGACTTTGAGCCTCTTGTAATACTTGACGTGCGGCTGATCCATCAATATCTTCAATTGGGTGAGCTTCTTCAGCCAATACTTGAACACTAGAATCTTCATTTACTGTTATCTAAAAATCAATTAATTTAATTATTAGATAAGAATTAGGTTAAATATTAAAATAAGGTATTTAATTACCGTTCCACTTGAAACAAATATTTTTTTTGATGTTCCTTCATCTTCATATACCGTTACAACTCCAGGGCGGAGAACAGCCAATGTAGGTACATGATTTGGTAAGATACCAAATGAACCACTAAAAGATGGTACATCAACTTGCTTGATATTTTTGTTGGCGTAAAAAATCTAATGAATAATTCAATATATATTTGTAATTTAATGATGAACTGCTTTCAAACAATATTATGATAATCAAACATATAAACATTTCAATATTGAATARATATTAAAAGTTTAACATAAACTAGATTACTATTGAACATACTTGATTGGCGGCAGCAAATGTGAAGTTCATTTGATCAGCATAATTTCTTGAAAAGCATTTAGTCGGTCCTTGTGTGAGCTTAGCAACTAATTTGGTGGATCGTAGGAATGAAGCCATTTTCCTAGAATTTAAACACAACATTTATAATTATCAAGAAAATGTAACCAGTTGAAATAATATTACTAACAGTTTTGGTGAATGATGTGTTCTATAACAGAAGAAATCAAAAATAATGGGATAAATGCTAGCGTTGCTTCACAAAAATCAGAAAATGACCTCTGTCGTCCAGTCGTGATTTATGAATAAAAAGATAAGAAAATTTATCATGGAAATAATGATAGTGTACAATCGGCTGTTAAATTTCAAAGATGTTCTAACATCTACCAGGGTCAAAATCTAACCTATATGGTTATTATTTTTGTGTCAATTGAAAATACTACACAAATTACCACTAGATCGCGTTGAGCCCAAAGTCTGCTATTATTTTAGATTTATGTTATGCACTTACGTTGTCAACGAAAAATTTATTTTAAATTCATTAGTTTAATAGGTCATAGAACATAGGTTATAGTTTTTTGCAGATTGTCTGCATATTTTTGAAGTATAATTATAATTATAATAAATATAATATCATATATTCTGTAGTTATGCATTATTATTTATATATTTGTGTCYGTCTACCTAGTATAACTTGTGCATATAAAGATTACGAATTTTCGCAAATTATTGTCAACGCAATAAACAAAATTGAAAATAATATTTGAACACCAAATAATTTAACGATGTTTATAATTTTGTAAAATACGTAAAATATGTTAATACCCATAATCATAATTAGTTTAAATTCAATAGTTGAAAATGTTATGTTTTGTGTAGATATGTAATATGTAATATATTAATACTCGTATAATATGATTACTATAAAGTGAGAGGCCTGTTCTCCTTGCCGTTTGTCTAAGGGGGAGGGAAAGGAAGTTTCTTTATATAATATAATCTAATATAATAATTAGGGCCCGGAAGTTCATGCATTTGCATGTTTTTTTTTTTTTGAACCATTAGATTTATTGCTAAGTGAGCTAGAAATGCATTCCAAGACAATACGAAAAACATATCAAAAGTTTATAGTGCATATTTTTGCATATTTAGTGATTTTTGAATTTTAGAGCATATTTCTTAAGTTTACAATTTTTAGAGCATATTTTATAATTTATAAAGATACAGTATAA